TTCGACTTAAACGCACTTAAAAATGAAACCTTGGTTAATTTCCTTGCAGAATCGATGAACGTAAAGCGGTTGATACGTATACACACCCAGGACCACTAAAAACTCATGGAAGGAAATTCAAAACATCGTAAGCGCCATAAAAAGCCGCTGATATTGAGCACTCTTTAATAGGAGTCTGGTAGCCGACTATTATCAAATTCCCAGTCTAAAAATTAGTTAAATTTTTCCTGGAAATTTTCCAATAAAAGTCTATTGTATGAAAGTGTGTACTAGTTTTCTTACAATGCATGAGTAATAATGCGTCCGATCCTAGCAACATCTAATGGCGCTTAGGCCGTTATAAATACCCACTCTTCAGCTAAAGGCACAATCTGTCGTTTTCCAGAATAAATACCGTGCGACTACATTTTGATGTTGCAAAATTTTCCCCCGTAATTTTTATGTCTCGTAGTATATGTCGTGTTTTTGTAAGCAATTTTGTCTCGTGTCTGTGTGCTTTTTATAAGAAGAAAAAAAAAAAAACTTTGCGAAATCCCCTTTTAAAAATAACCCCAAATTTTCCCTCTTACCGCACCCAAAAATCAGCAAAATTTTAGAAGGGAATAATATAGTTATATCTTCATCCAAAAAGGAAGTGTTAGAGTCTATTTTTCAACCTTGAGATGGAAGAATACGTTCCTTTGTCGAGGGAACAACGGGCCTAGGGTACTGGTACTGTCGCACTAAAAAAAACGCTGCATGTATGAGCCTTCAAGCATTGCAAACTCTCCTTCCGTAAATCACGAATTTGCGGGAAAACTTGTAAATATTTCGCTTCCAAATTTTCAGATAATTTCGTTTGCAATATCACTTGAAATTCCTGAAAATTTCGAGGAAAAACATCTACAACTTTTCTCAAAAATAAACATTTTTTCGAAAGAAATTCGACAACTCACAATGTTCATGCGACGTTTTTCCTAAGCACGGCGGGGTAGGTCTCGGAGGCAAGCTGGCGGACGTAATAAAACGAGAGTGTAAAATCGGGAAAAGGACTGTTTTACAATAAAAACCACTCGATTCAGAAGCGTAGCGGGATGAAAAAAAGACTCGAATTTGAATAAATTAATAACGCCGGGAATGGTTAGAATCCGAGATGCGAGTTACAGATAATGATGTTCGGCGGCTCAGCGTTATTAGTCTAAACGAAAAATTAGACAAATTAGTGGATGTCCAATCCAGGCGGTAATTGAAAAAACGTTCCGAGGGTGAACGGTTGAACACCTGTAAAAAAAACCCGGGCAAGGG